TTCACCTTTTATATTTTTGCATAACATTTAGCCTAAGGCATTAGCATTCATGCATTTTTGTTGTCTATTTATTACCTCTCTTGGATACCATGGAACATGTTCATAGTTATTGTATCATTATTGGTCCAGGATCTTGTTGCTATCTCACCCATCGAACCGGGACCATTAGCTGCAATTTGGGATTTAATACTTGGGATCAGATGCTAGTAGCTTAAAGGGGTAAGTGATCATGGTTAGGTAGTTTCATGAAGAATTATGCATACAATACTAACAATTGTGGGATATACTATAACAACGGATGTTCTTAGCCTTGCAGTCACTACCGCTGAGAGGATCACACTTGATCATGTTTGAACTGTTAGGATGAAGCATTGGTGCTTGTCCCCGAGTAGAATCCATATCCGGTCTCTTTACATCACCATATCCTTTTTGCGATTTCTTAGGATTTTAGAGAGTCTTTTAGTCCACATTTGGACATTTTCATCATCTTTGAAAAACCACAAGTTTGAAAAGGAGCTTACGTTACATCTTTATGCTCCATACATGGTCATTTTCACACTTAGTTCATTCGGATTATATCACTACCCTTTCGATTCCACTTTCACACTTTTGGGAACCTAATTTTAAGTCAAAGGGTTTTCTTGTTAAAAATTTTGATTGTTAATACATTACCCTCAAGTAAAAATTCAAAAAAAAAAAACAAAAACAAAAATGGCAGGCAAATTTCTAGTTGCAACTATCTAAGAAAGGTGTCCGGTTCAGTTATTGAACAAATTTTCCAACGTTTTGGTCACCCGACATTTGATATTCATTTATATAGGCTTGTTTTATTGTATATAGATCGAGTTGTTTTTTTGCAAATTTGTGATGTTAGAGAGACTGTCGAGTCGGATACCACGGGAGGTTTGGGCCAACACTAAGTGAATTGATTCCTACAATGGTGCCCGAGCGATTAAACCCAATTACACATGAGAGAAACTGGAATACGTGAGATCAAAGTGTACACTTAAAGAAGAGCTCCACACGAGTCCATCCAGCTGCTTTCTCCCTACTACAGATGTTCTTCATTATATGCATGTTCCAGTGGGGCTGCGACTGCTCATCCCTCCTTAATCACCTAAAGGAGTTGTCCTGGCTGTGGTTTATGGTCCCATTGTCATCGGATGAAAAACTCATGAGGTAATAGCAAGATCAATTATGACCATGTTGACTAATGGTGATCAGATTCCGCGATTCTATCCATTCTTTTTGTTTACCTTAGGATAGTTCATCCCGAGTTCATTTTAGTCTTGTCTTACTTGAGGACAAGTAAGGTTTAAGCTTGGGGTGATTTGATAGCTTCATTTTATTTACTTCTTTTTATAGTTTTTTTAGCACATTTTATATGCATTTTAGTTAATTTCCATGCATATTTTCCTTTTTGTTATTTTTATGACCATTTCGGGTACTTTCTAGTTTCTTGAGCATTATTGCAGATTTTTTTTGGAGACTAGAGGAGCGGGACTTTTGGGAGGCGATTGGACTTGAAGAGCAATGGGGATTTCGTGCTTGATGGTTGTGGAGGTGATTCATGGAGTGGGCTTGTCAATTTCTTGAAGGTGTGGAAGTGTTGAGCTTTAAATTTGAAAGGGCACGAGAGAATTCTTGGGTGTGCAAGATCGATATTTAGAAGTTTGCGGAAGTTTTGAGTGATGTGGAGAGACAAATTGGGCTCAAATTCAAGAAATATTGAAGAAAAATGGGCTAGAAGCTGATTGGACTCGAACTGGGCCAATGGATTAGTTGTGGGGGCTCAAGACTTGAAGAAGCCCAAAAAACCGTCAGAGTCATGCGGCCCGCGTAAGATTCCCCGCGGCCCGTGTGGATTCCTAACAAGGGTAATTTCGGGATTTTGCTAAGAGCTCTATATTAGGAAGGTTGGTGTGCCTCTTTAGCCTTATCTTGGAGGTCCGTGTTTGACACTTACTCTCTGGAGTTTGGAGTACTGTTGAAGGCCAAGAACACCTCAAGAACATCTTGATTTCACCTCTTGATTATTGTAAAATGTTTGGTACAATCTTATCTAACTTTGTTCCTTTGAGTTTAGCCATGCTTGGCTAAACAAATCTTGGTTGACTTCTTGTTGAATCCTTTGAACTTTTGTTGAATGTTTAAGAATCCATGAACTTGTTCTTAAATCTTTATGGAAATGTTTTGTGCTTTATCATATTATCACTACCAGTATGTTTTTATTCATGAGTTTAAATGTGTTTGTGGTGATTAGTTGGCTAATTTCTTGATTAAGTAAAGGATCCTCAAATTAGCAAGCAACAAATGATTTTTGTGTTGTTTTTGCTTCACACAATCATAAAACTATTTTCTCCAACATGGTAGTGAAAGCAATTGACTCCTCTTGGATTTGGTGACTTTTTGGGTCTTAATGCTAGTTGACTTTCACTAATTACATGCTATTTGGAATTAGTGACTTTGACTAAGGAAATTGTTATGAGCTTCTCTAGCCATTTCAACAAATAAGAAAAGTCTAGGTAATCTCAATCTCCTTGGATTACTATAGCCAAAATAAGGATTTGAATCAAAGTATTGCACCATTGGATTCTAATGATATGTTCATCAAAAAGTCAAAGTGAGGAAACTTTAAGTCAACCATCTCTCCCTTATTAATTTTACATCAAACCCTTATTTTTGTTGAATTGTCTATTTAAATCATAGTTAATTCTAGTTTGTTTCAAGTATTTCAAAACACCAACCCCTCCCCCCCCCCCCTAATTTTATTTTTATTGTTATTTTACAAGTATTTTTACAAAAGAGATTTTTCATAGAGTTATAAATTGAACCAATCTTCGTGGATTCGACCCCTTTACCACTATACATTATTTCAGTGTGTAATATTTAGGGTTATTATTTTTGTTGGCCTTTACAACCACCACTTTACTTCCCTTTCCTTCTAGATCTCTTTTCTTTTGGTTGAGTTTTAGGGTTTTATGGATTTTGAGTTGATATGGGAGCTATGGGCTATATCTGAAGTTGTAACTTCCGATATGGACCCTTCCTAAGTCCTAGAGTCATAAAGTTGCGGGTATGGGGATGATTGAAACCCTCCTTGTGCATGAAACCCCATTAAGAGCTTAGAATTGCCATTAAGAGCCTTTTTAGCCATACATACACGTAAAGTTTGCAACTTTACGTGAAAAGCATGCTCTAGAAGCTTGGATATGTAATTTTGAGCCATTGCATGGCCTAAATGAGTCTGTATGGCTTAAGGGCTGAAGGAACTCGGCGAGTCGCAAGGTTGACTTGGCAAGTCGTATGAAGATGGCCTTGAACTCGACGAGTCAGATGAGCAACTCGGAGAGTCCGATGAAGATTTTCATAGACTCGGCGAGTTGTATGAACAACTCGGCGAGTCGGATGAGTTTTCTCCAGGATATGTATGTGTGTGTATCTGTCGAGTTGCAAGAAGGAAACTCGACGGGTGGTTTAAAAGTGTGATCAAGAATCAGATGAACTCGACGAGTCACCTCAATGACTCGGCGAGTTGTATAGTGCTTCAAGGAACTCGGCGAGTAGTCGAGGGTGCTCGACGAGTTAAGGTCAACATGGACTGTTGATCTTGACGGAGGACTTTGACCTTGGCCAGGGGTTTACTAGTGGGTTATGGAGTACCTTATAAGGTCAAGGACTTATGAGTATATCTTCTGAGAGGACATCTGTAAAGTGAGTTATCCTCACTATATCGATAGATTCTAAGGCACCAAGGTCGACCCTTTAGTTTTTATCATTATGGTATGCTACATGTGGATATGATCCGTTAGATCAGAATTAGGATAGACTATATGTTATGTTCTTATTATCCGTAGGGATTGATATGTTAGTGACCTGCTAGATCAGTGCTATAGTTATGAGAGATTGCTATGTTTGGTAATCAGTGAGATAGATATGTTCGATGTTTTGTATATGCAAGTAAATGTTTGTTATGTGCACATGGTTATTTGCTTTGTTGCATGGGTTGAGGCAATCCTACTTTGTGCTAAAGGCCAACACACCTTAGGAGCGCTCCGGGAAAACTGTAGGCCCACGTGGCGGTCCAGTCATGCCGAAGGCTTGATGTAGATCCAGTTGGGCTGTAGGCCCTGTAGGGCAATCCAGTCAGGTCGATAGCCCAATATGCATGTTAATTAACTGGTTATTACAGATATGGTATTATCAGTGTGGTATTGGTATTTTGGAGGTAGCTCATTAAGCCCTCGGGCTTACAATTTTTAGTTTAATTCTTCAGGTACCTCAGGAGTTCATGGCAAGCGAAGGCGTGACCGTACCGCTCCTCATCCTTATGATCTGGCTTTTGGGACACTCTGGTTGAATAATGAATTGAAAACACTTTTTGTAAACAATTACCATTTGGTTTTATGTATGCTTGAAAAGTTTAAATTTAGCGTAAAATTTATGGGTGTTACAATTACCCTGCCATAAAACCCACCACCGGTGACCTTTGACCACCGTGAACCACCCTCAATCACCCACCCTTCACGTTCTTTTTTTCTTCTTCTGTTCCTTTCATTCTTACACTGTCAAGCATACCCACCACCAAGAAGGGGTGGTGATGTTGTAGTTGTGCCATCGAGAACCACCAAGAGTAGCCACCAGCCTCTACCATTTGTTTTTCCGTTGGGCTGCCAACGCAAACCACCACCACCCGCTACAATCGTTGCTATCGGAAACACCTTCCCCGACTTCCCTCTCATCCCCAACTCATAGTTTCTATAGAGCAGGAGCAAGAACTAAATGACAGGAGTTCGTCGGAGCTCCATTACCCGCCTGCAACGCTAGCCCACTCTATAGTCACCACCTGCTCCCGCCTTGGTCGCTGCTATTGTGAGGACTCCAACCATCCCCAACCACTGATTTCGATCACCACCAACTCCTCATTCCTCCCTTGTGTCATTCCCGCCGAGTGTAAGTCGAAAACGACGCATTGAAAGCTGTCACGCTTCTCCGCCACTATGTCGTCGCTGCTGTGGAACACCACCGCCGATAGCTGCTACTTTCGCCGACCATCTCCGAACGACCCATTGAGTGTAAGTCGAAAACGAAGTAGCAAAAGGGGTCGGTATTTTAAGAGAGAGAGAGAGAGAGGGGGGGAAGAGGGCCCACTTTTATATCTATTAATAATAACAATTTTAAAAAGTATAAAAAAAATGAAAACTAAATTTATTAAGTGTATAATAATAATTTTAGTTTGGACAGTAACCAAAATAACAAGCACATATAGTTAAAAGGACCACCAACCCAAAATAACAATCACAACCAATCCAAAAAAAACTCATGGACCAAACCCCCCACCACCACCCCAAAAAAAATGACATTTTTGCAATTTTGTCTCTTATTTTTAAGGGATAATAACTTGAAAGGGTAACGAACTTTCGACTTTTATCACATTTAGTCACTAAACTTTTTTTCGTTATCTATTTGCCATTGAACTATTGAAACTGTTCACATTTTACCCTTATGACCGGCTGTTGCCGGTCATAAGGGTAAAATGTGAACAGTTTCAATAGTTCAATGACAAATAGATAACGAAAAAAAGTTTAGTGACTAAATATGAACAAAATTGAAAGTTCGTTTCCCTCTAAAAAGTTCAATGAATAAATGTGAACAAACCTCCTCTTGTATTATGTTTTAGCAAATTATTTATTTTTGTTAAATTGTATCAACATTTGTTGATGAAGAAATCTATGAAATAAAAAAAAAACAAAAAAAAACAAAAAAAACAAAAACAAAACCCTGAAAATATATTTAAAAAAAAAACAAAAAACCAAAACCGAAATAAAAAACCAATGGTTTGACATTTTCCAAAATAAAAAATCAAAATTTCCAATCTGATTTTGGTTTTACAAAAAAATGAACCATTCTCACTGATGTGAATTATGACCATTGGTTTGGCATGCGAAATTTGTGACATCCCATGAATATGTAGTTACAACATCGTCTGAACTCGTAATTCATAGTAAGGGGTTAGAGTATCATCACATGAATACGTAGTTACAACATCGTCTGAACTTGTAATTCATCACCTACAGGTTATAGGCCTGCTGGTGTTTCCACTAGGTTGTCTAGAATAGTCTGTGGTCGCCATCTATATTCTGGTAGATGACTACATCGTCACATTGCTGGTTAAGGTTATGGTATATCCTTTCATCCTACATCAAATATTCATCATCATCTATTTACCTAATTATCACCACCTTTCTATCATCACCTATCTCTCATCATTTTATTTCATCACACACCAACTATTTCATCTACCCATGTTTCATCCGCAACATATTTGTAGATATAAAATAAATATACCGTTTAAATATTTTATAACATGTATAAAATCGTTCATCCAGCATACACAACAAGTATTCAAATAATATGCGCACATAGCACGTAATTTATATAAAATACTTCATATCTATGTGTAAGATGAAAGTAACTATATATACCATAAATGCTTCCTAACTTTGAACCCCAATGTTTACTATACTAAAGCTTCATATTCTCGGCTCTCTGAACCTAGAAGGGTCCAGATCTATCACACCAAAAAGCTCAAGATAGCTCTTCCTCTCACTCTACACACTCAAGCTCGCTAGGGTTCTCAGTTATGGGAAAGGTAGTCGCAATTGAAGGCCATAAGTACCTTTAAATATGGCTCGAGCCCAAAGATTTAGGGTTTCTGCCAACAGCGCGGACTCGTCGAGTCGCCTCACCGACTCGTCGAGTCCATTCATAAATCTGAGTCATCAGTCGCGACCTTACTCCACGAGTTGATGCGTTAACTCGTCGAGTGTCTCTTCTTAACTCGAAAGAAAAATACTTAAATGATGATACCCGAAAATCTAGATGTTACATTTTGTTTTTTTTTGTTTTTTTTTTGTTTTTTTTTTTTTTTATTTCATAGATTTCTTCATCAACAAATGTTGCTACAATTAAACAAAAATAAATAATTTTGCTAAAACATAATACAATAGGAAGTTTGTTCACATTTAGTCATTGAACTTTTTAGAGGGAAACGAACTTTCAATTTTGTTCATATTTAGTCACTAAACTTTTTTTTATTATCTATTTGCCACTAAACTATTGAAACTGTTCACATTTTACCCTTATGATCAGTAACAGCCGGTTATAAGGGTAAAATGTAAACAGTTTCAATAATTCAATGGTAAATAAATAACGAAAAAAAGTTTAGTAACTAAATGTGACAAAATAACTTTCGAATCATTATCCCTATTTTTTATAACCTCTCTGTTTTGGTATTTGGAACTTTCTCAATTTTTACTCCCTAGCCGATTTTACGACGGGTAGTCGACGAGAAAAGGCGATTTTGTCATTTTGTGCGACTCTGCCACTCCGCCGTGTCCTCTCCTTACCTCCTTCGGTCGCTCCGGTGACTGCTGAAACCCTAGCTGTTTTCGCGCCTTTGATCGTCTCCGGTAAGTTTGACCGCTTTCTGTGTAATTTTTTTTGATCTTACCCACTCTACTATCGGATGTATGCGTTAAACGCTAATAGCTGTATAGCAACCGATATATGGAATTCTACACCTTTGTCTTGAAATTTTTGTTTCAATTTCGTTCCACTTTGTATTGTATTGTAATCTACAGTCTAAAAATGTTTATGATACCCAATATTTCACATATTATGCGAGGTATGATATTCGTAGCTAATTTCTAACTTGAGGGCAGGATTTTCTGTGCCATGGAAAGCTCTGATGACGAGAAAGATGGTGCCAATGGTAAATGCATGAACAATGGACAAACGCCTACTTGCGCTGATGGTATAAAATTTGTAGACGATGTCCTCAATGGTGCAAACGATCAATGTTTAGAGAATTTTCGTATGGAAAAACATGTTTTTTATAAATTGTGCGACATATTACAAGCCAAAGGTCTTCTACGCCACACTAACCGAATAAAGATTGAAGAACAATTAGCCATTTTTATGTTCATTGTTGGCCATAACCTTAGAACTCGAGCAGTTCAGGAGCTTTTTAAGTACTCAGGGGAAACAATCAGTCGCCATTTCAACAATGTCTTGAATGCGATTATCGCCATTTCTTTAGACTTCTTTCAGTCTCCAAGTTCTGAAATTCCTCCAGAAATCCGAGATGATCCAAGATTTTACCCTTATTTCATGGTAATAATTTAGTGGATATGAAGTAGTTTTAGATCCAATAGTGGTGATAACGTGATGTTTTTTGATTATATTTGATATTTTTTAATGTAATAGGATTGTGTGGGAGCTGTAAATGGCGTACATTTTCCAGTGATTGTGGGTGTAGATGAACAAGGGCCTTTTCGTAATAAACATGGTGTTCTTTCACAGAGTGTTCTTGCTGCTTGTTCATTTGATATGAAGTTTCATTATGTTTTAGCTGGTTGGGAGGGCTCAGCATCAGATATAAGAGTTCTGAATTCAGCTCTTACAAGACAAAACAAGCTCCAAGTCCCTGAAGGTGATGTTCTAACTTTTAATGTTTATTTTTAGATGCTAAAGTTAAGGGCATTTTTGGAAACTCTTGAATTGAATTGTTTCAGGTAAATACTTCCTTGTGGATTTCAAATACGCAAACATTCCAGGCTTCATTGCTCCATATTTAGGCACTCCATATGGTTTACTTGAATACGAAGGCAAATTCCAACCACAAGATGCCAAAGAGTTATTCAATCATCGCCACTCACTCTTACAAAACATGAGTGAAAGAACATTTGGAGCACTAAAAGAACGATTTCCTATTTTAATGTCAGCTCCTTCTTACCCATTAACAACACAGGTCAAATTAGTGGTGGCTGCATGTGCTTTACACAATTTCATCCGTGACAACAATCCAAATGACAGCATCTTTAAGATGTATGAACATGAAGGGTTTTTGGTTCCACAAATGGAGGAATCAGTGACAGTGACAACACCTCCACTTGATTTTGAAAAGCCGGAGGTGATGGGTGTTGGGAATGGAATGGTGGATTCCGATGTCCCCTTTGATGCCCAACAAATTGAAGATACGTTGAAATTGCGTGATGCTATTGCTGCTGAGATATGGAATGATTATGTTCATGATTTTCCAGTCACGTGTGTATAGCATGGTTCACCTTGTTTTGGTTTTTAGGTTTTAGATGTTGCATATTTAGATTTGATGTAGTGAAATTGAGGGGAGAATTGTTATTGGTCATTACAGTTACCATTTTTGATGCAGAAGAATATGAGATTAAAGGATCTTTTTTTTTTTTTTTTTTTTTTAGAGAAATCAATCTTACATGATGTGAGATGTAAGATTTTCAGATATTTGATACACCAAGCTCATTAGTAAAGGTGTATCGAGATAAGAAGTTATGTTGTTATGAGTTTGTAGCTATTGGATGGGCATTAGGGTCTTTTAATAAAAAGGACGCAAAGCTGAAGAAGTCTATGGGGGAGTGATTGATTATGACCAAAAGATGTTGTGTAATGTTAGTGGATGGTAAATGAGTGAGTATGATGGGTTATATAATGAATATGACCAATAAATGAAAGTAAGATGCCTAAATAGTAAAAGGACAGCATACATTAAAATACAATGTTTTAAAAACCGGTTTGAACCGGTAACCGGAGAAGGGAGCGGTTCAACTATCACCGGTTGTATGCCTATTTCTGAACCGGGACGAACCGCCTTGAACCGGTTAAATTAAACCGGTTGAACTGGTTAAATTGAATAAAAACAATTTAACATACGGTAAATGTTATGAAGTTTTTTGATACGTTTGTATTCATCTAAAATTATATTTTGTTTTGGTATTATACATTTTTTTTTATATATGTTATGTATTATTTTAATGTATTTGGATCGATCTACAACTTGTTTTATGTGTATTTTTAATGTTTGAACTTGTGGACTTCAAATTCTTTATTTATGAGTGTATGTATGTATGTGTAGGAAATAGGAAAAAAAATGAAAATTATAGACACCGGTTGAACCGGTCATAATACCAGTTCAACTAGAAAACCGGTTTTTAAAACATTGTTAAAAGAAAATGATGTTAAGTTATGATATTTATGACATTAACTTCTCTCAAATGACATGGCATTTTGAATGACAAGTGTTAGAAAGCAAGAAAGGACAAAAGGTAAAAGTACGTTGCTAGATTTGGAAGTAGATTCCTTGAGGGGGTTTATGTTTATGAACAACAATTAACAAAAAATGAAGGCATAACCCGTCTGAAATCTAATTCCTTAATCTATTCGACATCTAAGATGTATTCAAAGTTGATAATATGATTAGGCTTCTTGAGGTGGAACGTAAGTCGAATTTTTTATGTGCAAATAATAAATGATCAAACTCTTGGGATTTGAGTCAAGTCTTGGGTATGAACAATTATTAGGGGAAACCCAGCAAGGATTAAAATATTGTTATTAATTTTATCGAATTTGTATATATTCAGAGACACTTAATTTATTTAGAGACAATTAAGTTTATAAGATTTGTATATATACACATATAATGCGAAAATAGGAATAGGACAATATGTGCATATACAAAATGGTTGCTTATTTGCGGTGTTTTTCATCGATTCATCAACATTTTTAGTATAAAACTATAAAAGTGATTTGGTTTTTTTATTAAATCGTATTTGTGTAAAAGAAAAAAACTTACGTCTTAGAGATATAAAAAAATATTAAAAAAAGCTACGGAAAGGTTTTGAATTCTTTTGAAACTATTTGGGATGTTTGATGCAAAAAATTGAAGTATGTATAATATACAAAACAAAATTTATAAAAGAACTATGTTTAATTTTAAATAATAGGAAAAATGTTATATGAAGAAGAATATATAGAAAAAAAGATTTGTTATATATTTTGACAATATACATTCATAAAATGTAAAACAATTGGATAATAATTTTGTAACAAAAACTAATATGTAAAACAAAAAAATATTTAGGAAAACATAAAACAAAGATGTGAAAACGGAAATATTTTATTAAAATCATGTATAAAAATGAAGATGTAAAATATAAAAAAAATTATACAAAATTTCAGATCATCTAAGTATTCTTAATAATATTGTGTCAGAAGTGCAGACTCTCGGAGTGAAGGTTGAAGATGAGGATAAATCACTCATGCTCATATTATCTTTGTCGTATTCTTATTAGCATAGTAAGTTCATTATCATATATGTGAAAGAGACCCTGTAATATGCATGCATATATTCTGGAAAACTCGAGTCCAAAGAGAAAAGACTAGAGAGTAGTAGTCATACTTCTTTAGAAGGAATGATTTTGATATGCGGGAACGGGAAAAAGAAGAAGTCACAAAATCTGGTATGCTAGAAGTCTAGACAAAATGGGCATGTTAAGAGTAATTGTCCATCTGGAGTGGATTCAGCAAAAGGCTCCAATACAACTAATATTGTCTTCTTGGTTATAAATTGTCACACCCCCAAACCAAGGATGGCGGAAACGTCCGGGGATGGAGGACTTCATGTAGAGTATCACAACAACGAGTATAATAGTGCTCAAAGTAAATACAACCATCATAAATATAATTGAAAAAGTTACACCAAAGTATATGTTTACAAGATTCGAATCAATTACATTATGATACAAAATGAACTGTTTAACGATTTATCGTCTCATCCTCAAAACGTGGTTGATTTCCTGTTTCACTGAATTCCTGAGAATACAAGTAGTTTGGAAAAAGTGTCAACACAAAGGTTGGTGAGTTCATAAGCTTTTGACAGTAAGAGTTTGAAAATCGATCTTTGTAAGGAGATGTATGTTACCAAGAAAAATCCAATATTTTCCTTATAAAAGTTATGTAGTCCTAAATACCAGGACCGAAATGAACAAGTATTTCATCGTACTTAAAGATATAATTGTGGTTTTAAATTGGCGTAAAACCCTTTCTGAATTGAGAAAAATTCCGTAATCAATGATGTGTGGTCTTAAATACCAAGACTGAAAATATACCATAATATCCGTAATTACTGATATAAAAAGGTGATTTTAAATCGACATAAACCCCTTTTGATTTATGAAAATCCCTGTAAACTTTATGTTGTTAAATCCCTATGTGAGCCGCTATAATCATACTAATGACTAAATAAACCTGCCACGACGTTTCTCAGGCGTCGCGAAACTGAAATGACACTTGTCACCACAGACCTGCCGGTCTAGCTGTTGCATGCAGCTTAGGTGTGGGGTGTCTAACCCAATATAGATCTATACACAACTATCACGTTCCCCCTCCAGGAGACTCTGATTATAACTAACAGGAATTTAAATTCTGCACTCGGACGTACGGAAGAGATTGTCTCACAATTTAGGTTAACAAGTTTACGTGTGGTGTGCATAAGTGTAAAACCTTTTCCTGTAGGAATAAAACCTTCCGAAATGTGTTTGTTGTGTTAATGGAACCATAAACCATACCCATTATAGTCTATCCCAAAACGTTTGTAATGCATAAGAACTCTTTTATGAAAACGCATTTTGTGTTATGAATCCATAAACTATGCTTATTATGGCTTAATATACGTGTTCTAAATGGATGAATAATCTTATCATGAATGACTATGTTTCAGATTATGATGATAACCTAACAAGGAAACACATTCAATATTTAGAACTTATTGTTATACACTTTGCTCAACATAATACAAAGTGTTATGAAATTTATATGCTGTTAACTAACTTTAACTTTTCTGTGCTGTTTTAGAAAAGTCATAGAAAAATCATATGAAGTCGAAAACTAAATCCGTAAATTCTGAGAGTTCCTAAAATGTGTCTAGTTTACTCATAATTTTTATCTTGATTTTTAATGACCTCCATCTTGGGTGAAATAGTCCATAATCACATACTGGTCCGGATTGGTGTTTGAAAAGATAGGCAGTTTTGTAAAAATCGTCATAAATTGTAGAAAAATCGTGTGGAGATGTGCAAGTAGTCATTTGAAAGCTAAGAACCGGAACTAATTACATCTAAAACAGATTTGAAAACAAAAATGTTTAAGTTGTTCAAAACAGTCCGTGAATGAAGTTGAACTTTTCTGATGAAGGCTGTTAGAAAGGTTTAGTTTTGTTCTTGGTGTTTTACTTGTATTCCCCCCCTAAAAACTTGAGAAAACATGAAAATGTAGGGGTATGAACTCACCTTGAGTGATTTTAGTACATAAGTGTTGAAGAAGAGAAGTGTTCAACCCAAGAACACTTGAAGAATCACTTGAAGATTCGTAGATCTAACACAATTATGATGGAGTTTGTGTAAGATATCCATGATTTGAGTAGAAAGAAGTGAAATAATCATAAGGAGAATGGAGTTTTCTTACCAAATGTGGAGGAAAAACCCAAGATCATCCCTTGAATCTCGAATTCTAGAGAGAGGAAGTGAGAGAGAAAAGAGTTTGATCTTTTTGGTGAAAGGAGAGAAAATGAGAGAAGTGAGGAGAGAGGATGAATGTCCAGCTCTAAAAACATGGGAATAACTTGTGAGAGAGGTAATAAGGACAAGGAAGTGACAAGGTATGGTGGGGAGGAGTGTGGGTTAGTCATGGAGTAGGTATGGTGGTTGCTTGTGTCGTAAAATAAAGGAAAGTCAACACTCGACCTCTTGTACTTCACCCACTCTTTTGGATAAGGTTTTATCCTTAAAAAACGTGATAATTTAATAATTATGGGTCCTTATATGTTAAAATAAAGTTTTGGGTGAAAATCCCGTGTTAAAACAATTAAAAACGGGCCTAAAACGCAAAATTAGACGAAAACCGGGAGAAAAGAAGCTTCCCAGCGAGACCTCTCGGTCCTGGCTGAGGTTCGGTCCTCCTGATGCTAGGCGCGAAGCGAAGGAAGCGAAAGCAAGCGAGGGTCAGGCTCAGTCCGAAGGGTCAGAAGCGAACTGGACCGAGGCCTCTGGTTCGGGTGGTATGCGAGGCTCGGTTCCAGGAGCCTTTGGGTTCGGTTCCCTTGAGCGAGGTTCGGCCCTGAGAGGACCTTCGGGTTCGGGTCTTCTTGGTTTCGGTCCCTAAGAGGATTTTCGGGTCCTAAGAGGGGTTTCAGTTCCTAAGAGGAGTTTCGGCTCCTTAAGTCCGTTTTTCGCGTAGACTTCCGTTTTTGGGCTGTTTTCGCCAAATTCGAGGGTCGGGATGCCCCGAGTGATTATAGAAAGTTGAGAGAGATTTTGAGAGAGATTTGGGAGAGATTTGTCATACTTAGAGAGATTTGGGAGAGATTTCACATACTTGGAG